CATACCTTTGAAGAGTTGGTCACTTATGTCCATGACTTGAAAATCTAGATTATTAGACATAGGAACTCCTTTCCAGTAGATACTCGTGATAAGAAAGAACTCTAAAAAAAAAATGTGAAAAATGAGATATAACCTTCAAAAACAAAAGAAACTATGACAATTACAATGGCACTAGTGAAGATTTCATAATAAAAATCTAAACAAAATCCTCAATGAACTGTCAAGATCGTTAAAGTGTCAAGATCATTAAAGATCAAGGCCAAAAGAAGAAATCCACATTAAAAGAGTTGCAACAAAACAAGTAGCCATTTACATACTATGAAGTGTTTGGTTTCTTTGAGCAATTGTTGGCATTAAATCCCATTGAATTTCTAACTCCTAAGCGCCCAAAGGAAGTCAAATGGGTGAATGACCCAAAATGCTAGAACTATCACTAATTTGTGAGTCATCCAATTGGTAAATGTTTCGTATTGAAGGATTTGATAATCTATCTTTAAAGAAAAGCGAAAAAAATCCAAGAAAGTGGAGAAAATTACTACCACCAATGTTGCCATTCCTTTGGCTCTCTTAATCAAATTCCAACCTTATTCAATGAACCACTATTGGTTTAAGATAAAGAGTTTAGTCCCCACTTACTCAATAGGGTAATTCAATTCATATTTTAAATAGATAACCAGGTGATGATAGCTTAAGCTTATCCTGTTATAACTGTATGTGGAGGCTTGAACTCTCTTGTTTTATATGACGTAATGACTATGATGTTGGGTTTAGGAGGGTGCAATGAACACACAAAATTTAAAAGTTTTAATCTTATCCCTTTTCAACCCACCTAAAATCCTTATAAATCCATTAACGGTTAAGGGTTTATGATCAATACCTAAATGATGTGTGGTTTGTTGGTGCATATATCTGGCAATCATCCTCCAATGAAGCCACCCAAGAATCTAATTGTAGATTTCCTCTAGTGGTGATCCACACATACACTTGGGGATTCGAAGATAACTAAGTTTGTAAAGGTACTAGCAATCAAAAAGTCAATTTGATCTAATTTAGAGTTATTTGTAGAATAATTTTAGTGTCTTAAATGTCTATGATGGAAAAATCAACTATCCATCATCATCATTATCAGTGATGTAGGGTTTTCTATACTTGTTCATATTAATAGGGAATAAAAGAAAGCTTAGTTTTTAAGTCTAAATAAAAAACCTAGGAAGAGAAGATTGTTCTTCCCTTAATTTTTCCCTTCCTTGTTGCACACCCCAATCCAATATGGACTAGGATTTTTGGCTAAGGCTCAAGCTCCTTATGCTACTAAGACCCTAAGCCTAGTGGCTTTGGATTTTGACCTATAAGTTCTCTAATGACTTAAATGCCACTTTAAATTTTTCTTGTCCTTAACTTAAAACAAATAACTTAAAACAAATTCAAACTTAAATTAAATTAAATTAAATTAATTCTTTCTATCATTTTTTTTCGGATCTTGATTAATTTACTTCTCCTATAAAAATATTATTTTTACATAAATTAATCCAAATCCATAAACATGAACTTATATAAATCCTAATCCCAAGAATGCACCAAGTGTGTAATCTTCTAGGTTTTTATCATGATGACAATGAGAGGCACTCACAAACCAAGAGCGATATCTAGCAACACATCATGGCCACCTAAAGTGATAGAAAGAGTTGATGGCTTCAACCCACCTTCTTATGAACAATACTTCTATAATTCAATCCCTTCATCATTGATACCTTTAACAAGCAAGATGCATGCTATGGGTCATCATCCTTGAAGTTCAATAAACATACTTTTTAAATAAACCTTCATTCATGCCATAATTATGGACTTTTCAAATAGTCTTATCTCAATCAAAAGGCTAGAGATACCTTCTCTCAAAAACTCAAGAAGGACAATCCCATGTTAATTCACTCATTACTCATGCAATTCATGATGCATCTAATAACTATATTACTTGCAATCTCTCAAAGTGGTTGTTTTTAATAGTATCAAAGTACACAAGTCCTTACAAAAAATAATGAAGATTTCAAGTCAAAAGATCACTTACACAAGCGTCATACTTGAGAAGCTATTAATGACATGTACATGTAGAGTTCTTATGGTGGGTTAGTCTAGTGCATTCACTTACTTTGAGTCACTCACATGTGATACGTAACTTCATGAGAAGAAGTCTTGCTACACCTAGCTAAGTGTCACACATAATAGTTGTTATGTCGTTGATGGCCTATTTCAATGATATATATGACCAATGGACAATTTAAGACTGTTATTATTGCATTTTATAGTGCTCACTAATAGTGGGGATTGCTATTACCTTTTAATGTAGGAAACATCTTAAGAACTTTATTGATATTTAATGTATGCAGAAGAATAAATAGTTAATATTCAATAAAGAATGCTATAAATATAATAGGCGTAATCACAAATACATGAGAATCTAACCCAGTTGGCTTGTAGAGCATACTTTAACATGTGAATCTTGAAGATTGGGAATTGTCGTTTAAGTAAAAAAAGATTAGATTAACAATGGTTGGTCAACTTTTATCAGTACATTTGAAAATCACCTTAATCTAGTTTCAAATGGAATGCCACTCCTAGATCCTTATATGGTCACGTACAACATTTACCTAGAACTAAGGCCAACTAAATTGTATTTTAACTTTGTACTCCTAAATCCTTGACAATGTTAATAAGGGGTGGATATAAATTCATGGCCTTTCGATGCTTGGGGGTTACATGTGATTAGACCAATTACAATATCATCAGTTGAATATGCATCTATCTTGACAATTGATTACTTCCTCAAATGAGCAAAAGCTATACCTTTGACAGATTTAGAAGGAAAACGTTGTTGACTTCATTTGGGTCACCATCATTTACTAGTATGGTGTTTCAATATACATAATTATAGATAATGGCAAACATTTTAGTAATAGTTCAATGGATAAGTTATATATATGGTTCAAGTTTGCCTAGCATATCTCTTCCATATACAACGTTGCAATGAATGAGGTCAAAATATCTATCTAATTTCATTGCCTTTGGTATATATAATTTGGTGACTTGTTTTATTAAGGTGAGTGCCATCTAAGCTACATGCATTACACATGGAGAATGATTTGTGCTAGTTGGCAACAAAAACTCAACCTCCAAAATGTGTGAAATCCAACACCCATTTTTCATTAACTAGTATTCTATCCAACTTGTAGTAAAGCATGTTGACACTTTCTTAATGGTTACACTAACATAAGTATTGGCACATAATCTTTAGGTCCTTAACCCCAACAACTACACAAAACTGCTGAAATACAAACATGTCTCCCTCAACAACTTGACCACCTTTTAACATATTTAGCACACCTTGGTATAGCATTAAAGCCACCTAATAGGGCCCATGGTGTAAAAACTTGCCTCGCAACTGCTAATAAGTCATTTCATAAAGTGGTTCTAGGTTTCATATCATTGAAAGCATAAACATGTCTAAAGAAATAAAATTCCATTAGACACTTTAAGTTCAAAGTAAATAAATTGGTCACTTTTGCTCAAATATTGTAGTGTAATTTAGTTAACATCCCATACCACCCCAGTTTTGCCATTCTAAGCATATTGGTCATTGTTTTTATTATTCAATTTATAAGCTAGCACAAGATACCATAAGCCGCTCTAATACCACCAATAGAAACCATAAACTACTCTGTCTCAGTATAATTGTTTATTATGCTTTAATAACTATCCACTGAGATCAACATTAGGACCAATCCAATATTAAATCAGTTTGAATTAAATAAATTTAATCCATTCCATCATTCTTTATCAAAATTCAAAAATGAAAGAGCAAAAAAAATAGAGGGTCCATGATTGCCTTGTATGACCTTTGTGGAAGGATAGGCATTGGGCAATTGTAGGGTTGTTCGTGTTTCTATTTTTGTTGTAGGGCCTCCTTTGTTCAAACAAGCATGCATAAGGTAACAAATTCTTTATTTTTCCAAATAAGCATATATGTCATGATGCATAAGGTGATGATTTCTATTGGCATCAAGATGCTCTACAATGGGAGGTAGGAAAGTCATGCTGATCTAATATGTTAATTAGACATAGATATCAAATTTGTCCTTTTGGAATTCTTAGAAATTTCACTCTAAGACTTTTATTGAAGCATACTTTTCCAGGAATAAAATATGGTCACACAAGGAGAAAAAGAAAATTTCAAATTTTAGGGAATAATCTCTCAATTGGAAGAGACAAGTCCAAAGAGAGGAAATGAGAACAATTAGGGTTGGTGAGTTAAAATGCAATATAAATATGGTATGTAATTTTTGAATCACAAGTGATCTAACTACGTTACGTGCATGTATTGGATCTTTGCACACATTTTTTTTAATATCTCAATTTATTTTTTGTAATTTAATTGCTATATATGTAGAATTATGTTATTGTTAGAAATGAGAGGTAACAATGTATAATAATAAATTTATTTTATATTATTTTATGATGTTTATTTTCTTGGAAATTTAGTGCTTTTAACTTTTAAATTTTCTAAAGATTAAATTAAATTAAAAAAAGGATAAAAAAACAAAAATAGATTTCACCAGTCACCACCGAGTGGCAGAACGGAAGCCCTAACCAGATTTGCCAGAAATGGGCCTCCAGTCCAGCCATTACCACCCGAACCCGGTAATCGGCCCTTGCTAGATTGGGGCCTGTAACCAAGAAACGTCTCACTCACGTGTCTGGCGATTAAAAATAATAAACGTAAAAAATAAAAATAAAAACATACACACGTTTCTGTCTCCAAGGCGAAAGGCAGATGTCCACTTTCACAGTTCCCGCCGAACTGTATACCCAGAAAACAAGGAAAAGAGAAAAAGCTCCCCATCTCATCCCCCATTTGTTTAGACACCGAAAAAGCAAAAGCACTAAGAATTAATTCTTAACAAATCTTACTCTTAATTCTTTTCTTCCCCGAGAGGAAATCCTTTGCCCCACTCAAAGTATCACAGAAAAAAACAAATCCAAAAAGAAGATGGTTACTCTATTTAATACCAAACCAAATCCAAATCCAAATCTAAATCCAACTAACAACAGTTGGCGCCGACGATGGCGAGCTCCAGCGGACCACCGCGGTCATTTTCTCGAAGAGATACTCGAGCGCCGACGAAGATGGTGGACGTGCCGAGTGAAGAGAACGTCGTGGCGGATAGTGAGTTGGTGCCTTCCTCTTTGGCTTCCATTGCTCCCATTCTTCGCGTTGCAAATGAAATCGAGGAGGATAACCCCAGAGTGGCCTATCTATGTATGTCCCACCGTTTTTACTTCAACTTGTTATTACTATTCTTATCCATGAATTTATTAATTTAAGGCGAGCTAAATCTGAGTTTGTCTATCTGAGTTTGTCTAGAAATTTAGTATTTCCTTTGTGATTTGATTTAAGTAAATTGTGATTTTGATTGAACTGTAATGAATTTAACTAGACTTTTTCTATATAAATTGTTTAAATAAGCACCATTTCATTCATTTATTTACCTTAGGGAAGAACATACCTAGAGTGTAGTCTACTGCTTGTTATTGTTAATTTGTTAGTGTAATGTACGTGTAAATTCGAATAGAGGGATGATACAAACTGCACTTTTGAACAATCACAACGAAAATATGGTTATTTGAGGGATGGGGACAAGTAAGATGATTTCTAGCCTCCAGTGTCTAGTTCAATGTCTAGGTTAGAAACTCAATGAAATTCTAAGTCAATTCCAATAGATTTCCAATGGCTCAGGTTGTGCAAGTATGCTTGGACATTGTCTCAATTTAGAATAATTCAAGTGAACCCCCTTATGAAGTTGCTGAAGTTATCCATGATGAGTGTCGCTTCACCTGGAATTTGTAGCCACTATCAACTTTCATTTTTAATTTTTCTGTATGTTGGTTTCCAATATTCTCCTTAATTAATTGCTAATTCTTTTTATTCTTTGTCTGAATTTTCTAATATTCTCTTTTTTTATTCAAAAAAAAAAAAAAAATGCTAACTCCTGTGTAGCTTTGATTATGTATTTTCTGTAAGAATTAATGTTTGTCACAGTAATGTTTGTTTTCTTTTTATTTTGTGACCATAAATTGATAAAAACAGAAAATCCAAATAGTCTCAACTGCTAGATACTTTCCTCTCTCTCTCTCTCTCTCTCTCTCTCTCTCTCATGATTTTAATATATTTTGTTCAATTAGGCCGCTTCCATGCATTTGAGAAGGCTCATGGGATGGATCCAGCATCAAGTGGACGTGGTGTTCGGCAGTTTAAGACATATTTATTGCATAAACTTGAAAGGGTAGACTTAACAACTATTTTGTTTCCTATGAGCTTTTCCCTTTTTCTCTTTCTTTTTTTTTTATGTCGCAAAAATAACTATGTAACCACAACAGTAACACTTAATCAATAGTTACCTTACTTCATTATGCTGTGAACCTATAAGATGGTATGGTGCCAAATTTTCTTGCATTTATGGAGAAAAGTTCATTTTATTTTTAGAATAGCCAAATTTTCTTGCATTTATGGAGAAAAGTTCATTTTATTTTTAGAATAATAAGAAAATAAATTTTGCTAAATTTTTTTACTATAGTATTTTCTTTCTATGTCATTGATAAACATGAATTATAACTCCTGAAGTTTTCAATATTCTTTCTTATTTTTTCTTTTATTTTGGCTGAAAAATTTTCACTTTAGGTTTTTTTTTGGACAAGCATAAGTTGTAACTCCAGGTATCCAGAGTCCCTTCTTGATGGTTTCTTTATTTGAACTGCCAGAGCTTTCTTGTCCCCTCTCCTTCTCCCCCTCTTCCCTCACCAAAAAAAAAAAAAAAAATACATCTTTGTTTGCCTTAGGACTGTTGATTTGAACTAAGACTTACTGATGCTTGTCTTTTGAGAAAGAAACAACACTTGTTCAAAATATTTAAGCATCTAATCATGATGTTAGAGTTCTCTCTTTCAAGAATCTTTATGCAGTGGTTTCTACCGATCAAATAATGATTTATATGAGTTAATTTTTGCATTACCTTGTCCTAAAAATGCAAAAGTCATTATGAAAGTAATTTATTGCTAATAATCTGCATCTTCTCTGCTAATCTTTGCTAACTGCATGAACTTTGGGCATTTTGATAAATCTTTAAAGATTTTAGAGATCATTGTCAAGATTAGCATCCTTACAAAACTAAGTTCAAATATAAAGAGTATGGTTTCTTCTCCTTGCTTCAGGAGGAAGAAGAAACAAAGCCTCAGCTTGGAAGAAGTGATCCAAGAGAAATTCAGTTGTATTACCAGAAGTTCTATCAGGAGAATATTAAAGATGGGGAACTCACAAAAAAGCCGTGAGATTTGATTCTTGAAAACTTTCCATTTATTTAACATGACATTCATTTCCATTTATTTAACATGACATTCATTGTATCTTACTCTTTGGTATTCTTATTCTTGAAGTGAGGAGATGGCGAAGATTTATCAAATTGCTACGGTGTTGTATGATGTGCTGAAGACAGTAGTCACAGATCCTAAAAAAATTGATGAAGAGGTTTGATTTACTTGTTCTTGGTGCCCTGTTACAAATTTATGAAGTAAATCTTTGTATGCAGATGTACTAAGAGATACATGTTTGTCTTTTTTACAGACTGAAAAATATGCTAGAGAAATTGAGAGGAAAAGGGAGAAATATGTACACTATAACATTCTTCCCTTGTATGCTGTAGGGGTTAAACCAGCTATCATGGAATTTCCTGAGGTTGTATTTATAATATTTGTTTTTATTGTGTATAGAAATTGTATCTTATATTCTTACATGTTTAGTTATCTTGTTTTTTATAATCTAGATCAAAGCGGCACTTAATGCTATACGTAATGTGGATAATCTTCCCATGCCTAGATTTCATTCGACATCAGATGTTCCTGACACCATGACTCCGGAAAGAGTTAAATCTGTGACTGTGAATGACATACTTGATTGGCTTGCTTCACTTTTTGGGTTTCAGGTGATGTCTCAAATCCTTCTTGTTTGTTATTATAAGTTGTAACCACATCTTGTGTGCTGTCAGTTATGTTCACATATTATTAAGCATAACAAATGATTTGATTTAGATCTGGACAATTAATTTTTTGTAGAATCTTGTGCGCCAATGAGATATTCAGTGAGAGTATGTCCTATGGTTTTATATATCTTCTATGATTAGTTGCCAGATATTGTTTACAAAGTTCTATTGTTGCGTTAACTAAAGAAAAATACAGTAAATGTATGATTGAGTCAAGTTTATGCATTAAGTATAGGTATTAATTGCTTTTATCTTCAAGGAGGAATAGGATGGACCATGGATTTAAGTTGTATCACGAATGTATTTTATCCATCTTATGAACATCTGGCAAGAACTGTAACGTAATTTCATTTTTGGGAATTGAAGAAAGGAAATGTTGCAAATCAAAGAGAGCACTTAATATTGCTGCTTGCCAATATGGATATAAGGAAAAAAAATCTTGAAGATTATATACAGGTATATTGCAATTTCATTTGGCTGGTCCATACTTTTGAATTCTTAACTCTCAATGGCAGCTCTGGTTTTCACCATTATGTCATAATGAGGGCTGATAAGAATTCTGTTGCAGCTGAGTAGTGAGACTGTAGAGAAGTTGGTGGATAAAGTTTTCAAAAATTATCGTTCATGGTGCAAGTATCTGCATTGTGAATCACATCTAAAGTAAGTTATCTTGTTATTGCATATGATAAATACTCGTTACAATAATTGTTGCAGACCTTATATCATAGCTTATGTTAAAACTTATATGTTGCATGGATTTTTTGATTTTTCTTTTAGGTTTCCTCAAGATTTTGACAGACAACAGCTAGCGCTTGTTTACATTTCGCTTTATCTTCTTATATGGGGTGAAGCTTCAAATATCCGATTCATGCCTGAATGCATTTGCTACATATTTCATAATGTATGTCCTGTCGAAGCTTCTTAAGTGGTTAACTTTTGATTTATTTATTTTTGCTTTTATTTCCTTTTTTTTTATTCTAATGCATGTATTACAGCTTCTGCATATTTTTAATTAATTTTTTTTTCTTCCCCTTGATGTTATAAGATGGCAGATCATGTGCATGGATCTTTGTTTGGAAATGTGTCTTCTGTAAGTGGAGGCACATACCAAACAGCAGCACCAGATGAAGAAGCATTTTTAAGGGATGTTATAACCCCTATCTACCAGGTTTTGCAAAAGGTAATTCTGATTTCGTTGCTTCTTGATGTCATGCCGTACTTTTTGCTTATAACTTTTTAGCTGAAAAACTGGTTTTATTTGATGAAAAAGGAAGCCAGGAGAAACAAAGGAGGAAAGGCAAGCCACTCTAAGTGGAGAAATTATGATGATCTAAATGAGTACTTTTGGTATGTTTCTTGAATAGTTATTCTTATTCATATTTTTGTATTAAAATGTGATAAATAGATGGAAACCTGACTTTTTTTTTTAGGTCCAGGAAATGTTTTCAGTTGGGGTGGCCAATGGACCATAATGCAGATTTTTTTGTCCATTCAGATGGGTTGGCAGCAGCAATTGAGGTGCATTTCCTTTTCTTTTACTCAATCTTTATAGAAAAGTTTTTGCTTCTACCTTTGAGTATTTGTCTTGTGTGTGCTATATGCCTAGAAAAGAATTTGTTAATTTGCTTAAAGTGCATTGGATGTCATTATAGAATGTATATAAAGAAGCAAAGAAGATATTTGGTAGAAGGAAAAGAGAAAACGCTTAACTCTTGAACAGGCTCCAAGGAATGAGTACAAAACAAAATTAAATAATTAACTGAAACTAACGTTCCTGTTAATTATGATTTTTATCCAGAATTTTGTTGCCTGATTTACAAATCTAATGTTAAATACTCCAAAAGCTGGTCAGTCTCATTAGAGCTCAAGTTTTTTTGTTTAATCATCGGATACTCCTGGAGGTTTTTAATTTTTGGTAATTTCTAGTTGGTTTTTTTGCTTTTGTCTGCTTGTTGAATTCTATTTTATATTTATGCTCAAAGGGAGTGCATGTGAAGTCGGATTTTAAAATAATGTGGATTCATGAAATATATATAGTGGGACCCTTACTTGCCAGTTAATCTGTTGTAACAAAAGATAATCCATAAGCCTAACCTTGATATTTTCTCTAATTAATTTCCTCAACCATGGGCAAATATGTTATCCTTTGTATTATTAATGTTCCTCAACCTGGGCAAGTATATTGTAGTTTGGGTTTTGAAGAAGCAATATCTGAATTGGACAACAAATGTGATTCAAATCTGAAATTCAGGTGAGGATATGTTGCAAGGAATGGTGGCTTTTGGGATGAAAAGCTGTTTAGGGGTGAAAGGGTAGGAAACTAATAATAGAAAGCGAAAGATGAAGAAAACCCTAGGGGTGGGCTTTTTTTGGCCAAAACCCTGTGGGTGTGATTTGCCTGGATGGAATTGGTATTATGTGGTCGAAGTATATTTCTAAGATAAATTAGTGGGTATAAGAGATTAGAAATACCTATTCCTTGCTTTTATCATTTTCTCCTAGAAATGTAAAGCATATGTATTCCCAATCTCTTACTCTTAACTAATTTACCTTATAAATTATAATTATACTTTAATCATGGAATATCAATCCGATCCAACCAAACTGGCCCTAGGAGTCTCACCTAGGTTTTGTTACGCATGGCACTTCACACTCAGAAATCCTTAGGAATCACACCTAAGGTTGATTGCATCACACAATCATAAAGCATAATAAACTGAAATGTTTGAATATATAAATTTTTTATCAGGAAATTTTTTAATATATTGACTAGACTGAATATATAGAAATTCCTAAGACTACTAAACTATAAAAAGAAATAGAACTCGTATTCTAACTAGACTAAGATTCATGGTAAAATGACTTACTGCGATAAAAGACCTTTAATATGACTCTAAATAAAAGAGCAAATCCTAGTAGAAGTAGGAAAACTAATAGTGGCCTATACTTACACTTAAAATAATAAAATATACCCCTAAATATTGTAAATGATTATTCCATATCTTCTTCTGGTATTATTTTCATGTCTTCTTCTGGTTCCTTGTCATTTCTCCCCTTCTTGGGGAACATTCAACCTCCATTTTTGATGTGTTGAAGTAGTAAAAATCACATGGTTGTAAAATGCTTTGGTGGAAGTAGAACTTGAATTGAATTCCTCATTTAAACCCAGCAAGCTTGTAAACAGCGTGAGATTTGTTTTCTGTCAAACTCAAAATAAAAGACCTAATCCTAATAGAAGTAGGAAAACTAATAATTGCCTAAAATAACATGAATAATAATTATAAGACATCTAAATATTCTAAATAATTATTCTAGATGTTCTTTCAGTTCCTTGTAATCAGGTCAACCTAAAAGGTCATGCACAAATGATTGTGTAATCACTTTGACCTGTAAAAATCAAAATTGACCAGCAATTGACTCAGTTAATCACTTGCATGGCAATACCCTGCCATAAAACCAACTGTTTCCAATCCATACATTTTGTTAACTCAAATACATTGGTATTTGGTAGTCATTCATTTGGGATTGCTGTGAAGTGCCTGTAGCTGTGGCTTTTTCAGCATTCTACCATGAGAAAAATTATGTTATTGTTTGATAATTGCTTTGAAAAGAGTCTTGTACATTAATATGACCACTAAATCATACATAACATCAATTAAAATTAATTTAATCATAATAAATTAACACTTTTATGAGGTGCCATGTGAAAAAGCACCGTGGGAAAGCAACCTGAAATGCTACCTATGAGTGATAGGTAACCTTTTGTGTTTGCTCTTTATCTTCCTGATGGTAGCATTAGAAGACCTCACAGTGCTTATGTGCAGATGTGGTCTAGGGTTTAATCTCTGTCCTATGAAGCAAGGAGTGATTAAACGTACTTGCCTCTTGTTTTCTGTTATTTAATTTGATTTCTTTATTTCATTCAAGATCTGAATACATATGTCTGTTCACAGAGACCTAATCAAGTTACTTTTGGAAAGAGAAAGCCTAAAACTAATTTTGTTGAAGTCCGAACATTTTGGCATCTTTACAGAAGTTTTGACCGGATGTGGATATTCTTTATCATGGCTTTTCAGGTGACCTTGATATTTGAGTATGTGCACTGTTTTTCTGTTTTTCTTTTGTCCTTTGGCTAAACTTTAAAAAGTATCAACCGCACCAAGGTTTTATGGTTTCCAGGCCATGGTGATCATTGGATGGAATTCTGGTTCTCTTCTTGGCTTATTTGATGGGGATGTCTTCAGAAGTGTATTAAGCATTTTCATCACTTCTGCTTTTCTCAATTTCCTGAGAGGTGTTGTTACATCTATACTATGACTTTTTGATATTCTAAATCTATAGTTATTAGAAAAGTGCTTCACTTGGCCACAAGGTGAATAAAACAACATGATGGTATCACTACTTGCAACAATGTTACTTTTGTAACTAATTGGCATGGCCACTAGATGTTTTATGGCCAATCAATCTTGTATTCTTGTTTCAGTTGCATTTTACAGATTATATGATTCAGGTTTTCCATCATATCCCATGCAGCCACTCTGGATATAATTCTCAGCATTAATGCATGGAGGAGCTTGAAATTTACACAGATACTACGTTACATTTTAAAATTTGCAGTGGCAGCTGTGTGGGCAGTGGTTTTGCCAATTGGTTATTCTAGTTCTGTTCAAAATCCAACAGGACTCATAAAGTTCTTCAACAGTTGGGTTAGGGATTGGAAAGATCAGTCATTTTATAATTATGCTGTTGCAATTTATTTGATACCCAATATATTGGCTGTTTTACTATTTTTTCTTCCACCTTTGCGGAGAACGATGGAGCGTTCAAACTTGTGGATTATCACTCTTATTATGTGGTGGGCTCAGGCAAGCATATGAAGTTTATTGCCTTCATTTAATTTTCTATTTCCTTGTTAGTGCTCTCCATGGATCTCATTCTTTCCTATTTTGTTTTTCTTTAAAATTTCATATTTTATGTTACTTTTCCTGTGCTGCAGCCAAAACTCTATGTAGGAAGAGGCATGCATGAGGACTTCCTATCACTTCTTAGGTAAGGAAATAGATTTCATGATTAATGATCTCCCTCTTCCCCCAGTTTGATTATAGTAATTACTCCCATGTTTATATTCTTCCACACAGATCTAAGATTTTATGGTTTGATGCTTGACTTGGATATATTGTTTCTCTATATCATATGTACATTTTAATATGGTCAGGTACACTTTGTTTTGGATCATGTTGTTAATCAGCAAGCTGGCATTCAGCTACTTTGTTGAGGTGATTTCTCATTGTCAGTTTTATATATCATTTAGTCATTCACTTATATTTAGAATCCTAAAGAACTGATTTCTCACTTGCCCTTGTATCAACTTGTGCCTAACTGATGAAGATACCAAAGATACATGTTCATGCATGTACACCCATGGTAAAATTTTGGGCTGTCTTTGTCTTAGAGTTAGCATAAGTTTCACAGCTAGTAATGAGGTATTTAACACATCAATAATGTGAGAGGATAGGCTTGACAAGATAGGGATACCAAGAATGATTATAATCTTGGTTTTTTTTTTTTTTTTTTTTTTTTTCCTTGCTATAATCTTGGATTTAATATGCAGGGACTCTGTGATGAGGCATTTTTTCTAAGTACACCTTAATGTAGTGTGTTGGACACAAAAGGGGCATGCTCTATGGCTCATAGTTTATAATGAACAAAAAGGCTGATAGAAAGGTGCTTGATAAGGAATAATAATTAGATAATGGAATATCTGAATAGTATATAGCATGTAAGTTTATCTGCCAATAGTAAATTAATATTATATCTGCATGAATCTAAATGGTCAAACATTGGTTGACTTGGAAGTGAGATAATGATTTTGGATTGTTATTGCCTCCAATGAGAGCTTCATGCTAAGTTCTAAAAGAAGGTTTGTGAGAGATCAGTGAAAGATTATTCAGCAAGATGAAACTAAAGCTCCTAGCAATGAATGGAGAAAAAAGAACTCATTTTCCTATTGTTTACTACTTTTGTATGATTGTATCAGGAAAATATACTTACATAGGGGAAACAGGGGACTAAGTTTGAATCCTACATTTGTGCTCCCAATGTATCCAGCCTGGCTTCTGTTAAGTCCTATGGATTCATTGAATGTTGGATTGCATAGGGCCAACATTATTAGTCGTTTTACTCCATTCTGTAATCTTCATACCATAGTTGCCTCTGGATGACATTGTGGAAATGTACTGTCATTTTGTCAATGGGCATGCATCTGTGCATATTACCTCTACAAGGATGAACACTCAGATATCTGGAAGGTTGAGTTATGATAGATATATACTAACAGGCACTTGCAGATCAAAAAAAAAAAAAGGATGTAGTATTAATAGGCTCTTAATCTTCCTTTACAGTCTTTGACTACTACTTTGTATATCCCTTGTTTTAGCAGAAACTACATTTCTGTAATAGTGAAAAAGATGACACAGATAACAGAGGCTTCCTGGAGAAGATATTTGTTATTTGGGTATAAATATAATTAGTAATTTTAATAGAATTCTAGGGTTTGATGTTATTAATTGTGTTCAGTGATTAATTTAGGTTATTGGATTCTGTTTCCATTGAAGTCTCATATTGCCATCAGAATTCAGTTAGGATTAGTTATGACATGTCTTTATTTGAAAGCTTTACTAGATTATGATTTTAGATTTATTTTCCTCTCTTCCTCTTCCCTTCTCTCTATTTCTCACTCTTCATCTGTTATTCTTCCCTATCTTGCAGCAATAAATTATTTTACCTTTTGTTAGTCAACTGATTGATGTAAAGCATTATGATTTCTATTTTTCTTTGCTAATAAAAATGTGTATTATCTATTTTCTTTTTCTGTTTTGATGGGATAGCAGCATGTTTTCCTTGGCATCCTTTAAGGTTCATAAAATCTCAGGTCCATCTAAAACTGTAAATTTTTACATGTTCTGTCAACAGATTTTGCCACTTATCCAGCCAACAAAGATTATCCTGGAATTGCATGTGGATAACTATGAGTGGCATGAATTCTTTCCAAATGGTATAACATTTCTCAACTTTTCCCTCTCTTTCTCTCTCCCAATTAAAGAAAAAAAATCCTTGTCTTTTGGATTCACTTTCTTGAAAGGGCTAAAGTTAAATTGTGAAACCTCTGCAGTGACCCATAACATTGGGGTTGTTATTGCAATATGGGCTCCTATTATCCTGGTATGTTGGCATAGACACTTCTAGGAATGAAAAGAGTTATGCTATTGTGCCAGAGTTAAAATTATGGGGAATATGATGTCTTATTTGTATATAGGTTTATTTCATGGATGCTCAAATATGGTATGCCATATTCTCTACTCTTTTTGGAGGGGTTCAGGGAGCCTTCAGTCATTTGGGTGAGGTTAGTGCCATATTTCTCAAACCTCAAAAATAAAAATTAAAAAGAAAACTAATACTGTGACAAATTCTTGTACAATTAAAAATTTAGGATGAAACAAACATAATGCATCTTTTATACTTCATAACATCTGTTCGTTGCAACATGCTTGTCTAATTTTAGTTTGTTCTCTTACTATTGGGATTTCTCAGATACGGACACTTGGGATGTTGCGGTCTCGATTTGAATCTGTGCCTAGAGCTTTCAGTCGAACCCTTGATCCGTTATCAAATCAGGGTGCCAAAACGAAACATCATGTAGATCCAATCACCATTGTTTGTGTATTTGGTTTTTATCATCTGGAATAGCTTTATTGCTCCAACTTGGAATTTATTTCTTAATAAACATAAACACATATGTTATCCTTCTCAAAAATTTATAAGCAGCATTTCTGGTGCTCTTTTAATCTGAAAAATGTGTTTTATACCACGCAGGATGAGTCAGAAGAAAGGAAGAATATTGCAAAATTTTCTCAAGTGTGGAATGAATTCATATATTCTATGCGAGAAGAGGATCTGATAAGCAATAGGTTAGGATCCTTTGTTCTAAATTATTCCTCTTATATCAACTGCGCCACTTAGATGTTTCTTATATTTTTTGGTCTTTTTATTGAATAGGGAAAGAGATTTGCTGCTTGTGCCATATGCTTCAAGTGATGTCTCTGTTGTCCAGTGGCCACCCTTTTTGCTTGCAAGCAAGGTAAATAGTTTTAATAGTTTTCCATGTTAATTGTTTGATCAATGTCATTTCATGGCTTACATATCATCTGGCAGATTCCTGTTGCACTAGACATGGCAAAAGATTTTAAAAAGAAGGATGATGAAGAGTTATTTAAGAAGATAAAGGCTGACCCATATATGCATTCAGCAGTAGTAGAATGTTATGAGACTATCAGAGATATAATATATGGCCTTCTGGAAGATGAAACAGATAGAATGTAAGGCAGAAGCATTCACTTTATGGATTTGAACTTCTGCTCTGGACACTGCATTTTTGTTGGGGGTGTTTTTCTTTTTATCTGAATGAATATTCTTATGGTGATTTGACTTTCCTCATGCAAATAGGATTGTTAGGTCAATTTGTTATGAAGTTGAATTTAGCATACGGCAGAAGAACTTTTTGAATGAATTTCGGATGAGTGGGCTGCCTTCACTTAGTAATAAGTTGGAGCAATTTCTTGGAGTCTTGGTAAAGCTCCTTTCTTTTCATTTTCGATAATATTGTTGATAAGCAAGCAGTTCAAACTTAAAGCTTTTATGAGTACTATACTTCTAAAAGCTAAAACATCTGTTTCTGGTGATGGCAGCATACTGAAAATGCAGATGTCGGGCAATACAAATCTCAGATAATCAATGTTCTCCAAGATACAATAGAAATTATCATAAAGGATGTTATGGTCAACGGCCACGAGTCTGTGCTAAGAAAAATCCACGTGAAATTTTTTTGTAGTTATACTGCCTAGTGAACTATAATTGATGTCTACCATGAATTTACCCTTTTTCTTTGTAGCATCATTGAAAGAGCTCATTCGCACAGTCAAGATGTTCAAAATAGCAAGAAAGAGCAGTGGTTTGAGAGGATAAATATTACCCTTACACACAACAAATCATGGAGGGAAAAGGTAGTGTTGAACATGGACTCATTTGATTTCTTCCTAACTTAACGTCAGCTATTATGTGCAGCCTTTATGTTATTAATCAATCCCACATTTTTGTTTAGGTTGTTAGGCTGTATTTGCTTCTGACTGAGAAAGAATCTGCCATAAATGTGCCTACAAATTTAGAAGCTCGGCGACGCATTACTTTCTTTGCAAACTCCCTATTTATGAATATGCCAAGTGCTCCAAAAGTCCGTTACATACTCTCTTTTAGGTGAGTCATTGTGGAAAACTATAGCAGGTTAGCTTACAGATAATGATTTCTTTTTCTTTTTCTTTTTTTTTTTCTTTTTTTTTTTTTGGTTAGGGGGGAAGTCAATTGTACTTGGAAGTTCATGATATCATATACCAAAGAATCAATTGAATGATCATTTGGCTTCATTAATTGGGCCAGATATAAAGATTTGACATATTTAAACTGCATTCATGATTTGCTTCTGGCTATGATTTTCCTTGTTATTAGTGGATGTACTTCTCTAATATGTATCACAAATGGCAATAGCCACCTTACTGCAGACTATTTCTAGATGGTTGTCCTTTGTACTTACTTCATGCTGCTCCCTCATTTTATCATTTAGCATTTTGACTCCATATTACAAGGAAGATGTTCTTTATTCTGAGGAAGATCTCCATAAGGAAAATGAGGATGGCATATCAATTTTGTTTTACCTGCAGAAGATATATCCTGGTGAGCACTAATCTTTTGTGATAAATATATCAATTTTGGTACATAATGCTTTTTGTTGTTTGAGGTAGACACACACCCACTGAACATCTGTGTCTGCAAAATAGGTGAATGGACCAACTTCCAGGAACGTTTGAAAGAGAACAAGGATGTTGAAAAGGAGGAACTTCGAAAGTGGGTATCATACAGAGCACAAACACTCTCCAGAACAGGTGTGGTAATTAAACAGATCACCTTATTCTGGCCTTGTCCATCAATTTTGACTGAGTCTACGCCATTCTATCTTTCTTTTTCTTCAAGTGAGAGGGATGATGTACCACAGGCTGGCTTTACAACTTCAATACTTTCTGGAATTTTCAGGAGATAATGGTTTGTGTTTCAATATCTTGTGTTTTGTTCTAACATCTTCAAGATGTGGTATAGTAGCAAGTGCGATAATGAAGTATATGCTGTTTTCTGGTAGCTATTTTTGGTGGATATCGTACTTGGGAACCAAGTGAGCAGGAATATAGGGCATTTGTGGATCATGCAGAAGCTCTGGCCAGTTTGAAGTTCACCTATGTTGTTTCTTGTCAGGTCTATGGAACTCAGAAAAAATCAGCTGATGCTCAAGATCATAGTTGTTACACTAATATTTTAAAACTCATGATAACGTAAGTTCATGTTACTTTCCGTCATCATCATATACTTCTCTATGCAGATGAAATTGCTAATGTCTCTTTAAATATACTCAAACTGTATAGATATCCATCTCTACGTGTTGCTTATATCGATGAAAGAGAGGAGACTGTGAATGGAAGATCTAAGAAGAGTTATTACTCTGTTCTTGTCAAGGGAGGTGATAAGTTAGATGAGGTATGAAAGAGTCCCAGTTCAATACAAAATATATCAGCTAATCATAAAGAGTTTTGAGTGTCACATGCTGATTCACATTTCACACTGACACTATGTTAATGCATGTATAAAGTTCATCCAAATGCACTTAAAGTTTGGGCATGCATGCTTTGCTTTTAATGGGAATTTTCCTTTAAAAAGCTTTATCTTGATGTCTTAAGTGATAAAAATAATACTAAGAGAGCTAATGCATATATAAAATCCTGAAGGCAAGGTGGATTATGGAAATACAGGATAATATTGATTAATGATGAAAACTTAAAGTTCAGTTGAATACTATGGAGGGGTAAATTGATTGAAATAAACTTTGATGACTTAGCTATGAACACCTGACACCTGTAATTAATATAAAGATTATCATAAACCAAACAGAGAAAAGGGAGAGATGGCAGCAAAAAAAGTTTTTTGAATACTAGAAAAAAATGTTATCATTTAAATTCAGAAGTTGTAAAAGTGTGCTTGACCAAGTCATGGAGATATGAATAACTTTGTACAAAAGACAAAACTGAGATAGATGGATGGAACAACTTAGTGTTTGACCTAATAGGATAAACTGGAGATAAGATTTGGTTTCATGTATTCAACTTCAATTGGTTAAGATGAAGGGTCTATCAAGTAGAGATCATTTCTAGTTATTCTGAAAACAGAAAAGTTGGGTTAATCAGCAGAGCTTTTGGCAGAAATAAAATTGTTTTTTTATAGCCTTCCTACAACAGAATTGAGAAACAGCACCTTGATTGTAGCAAATGTTCACTTGTCTTTACAGGCTGGGTCCTCAGCCATTATCCTCATTGTGATGATTGCATCTGGAGAAATGCTATAGATTAAATTCACTGAACTTGATCACTGATGAAAATTCTCTGCTTGTTTTGTTGTTGTTTCTTATTACAATATGCATTTTTATTCTCATTTGGATTGTTGTGATGTTGCCAGGAAATATACCGCATCAAGCTCCCAGGCCCTCCAACAGAAATTGGTGAAGGGAAGCCTGAAAATCAAAATCATGCAATTATTTTTACTCGTGGAGAAGCACTGCAAACCATAGACATGAATCAAGTATAGCTTTTCATCATATGCTCTTTGAAGATGCATTACAGAATTATTCACTGTGTTTTATTATGTTTGGTTTCAGGATAACTACTTTGAAGAGACCTACAAAATGAGAAATGTTCTGGAGGAATTCATAAAACATCGTCCCAAGGATAGGAAACCAACAATATTGGGTCTAAGGGAGCATATTTTTACTGGAAGGTAAGCCAAGCACATAATTTTGGGAGTTCAATTGGATTTTTATCACATTTAATTGCTAGTGTCAAGCTTGTGAAAATAGATAGGTGCATTACCTCAGAGTACTACAGTTGCATTAATATATGCTTTATTTCTTTCCATCATCTACAGTGTTTCTTCACTAGCTTGGTTCATGTCCAATCAAGAGACTAGTTTTGTGACTATAGGTCAACGGATTTTGGCAAATCCTCTGAGGTAAGCCTGAACTTAGTGAATGATTTGAATCTAACCAATGTCTTTATTGTAAATTTATCACTCTGATTTTGTTCTGTTACGACAAAGGTGTTCAAAACTCCAAGGATAGCTTGTAGTCATGAATGATAGATGGAAATTATATAATTTAAGGAAGCTGCAATAACCTCTTTACACCACTACCACGATGAAATTGATGTAAAGAGGTTTGAATTTGAAACTAATATTCAACATAGTTGGAGAGGCCCGGATACCCATATTTCCTCCCCCCCAAAACAAAAATATATATATAGGTGTAGAGGCCAAAAATGTCACTGGATAGGTTTGACAAATCTGCCAAACCGGTATGTGATGGTTAAGGTTGGGAAGATAAGGGATTTTGAGTAGAAGAGTTATAGGAGGATAGTTTGTAGTGGGTTGAATCAATTAATTTGGGCAGAGTTGTTCACAATAGAACAAGTTTGCTTAAATTTCAAGACAGCAACCAATATAACAGGATTGAGGGTTCTTTAGATGAGGGAAGTGTATTAGGATTATTTTTCTGGACTGATCCAATGGTGAATTTGTTTGATAGATGGTTACATAGTATTTAAGTCCACATTTCCCTTTAATTTGAACTCAAGGGTAAGAAATATTACCCTTGAGCTATGTAATATCTCTCCTTGTGAAATCCACAACATTAACCTCAACTTTCCTTGCAGCAATATGTTTTGTTGACTAGTTATTTTAGAAGTTTATTAAAAAGCTGAAAAATACAATCACTAGGGCTTTAAATTCCATATTTGCCCTTAAAAGTCTTTTTAACAATCAAAATAGGTCAGCCAAAAACTTTTTAATAGGGGTAAAATTGGGAAAAAGCATTTAATCTCTTTGTGCAACTAGGAAGTTTGACAATTAAATTTGGATACCCCAGTTAATTGTGACAACTAAACTTGGACAGTGGTAGTATTTTTTATCTCACATCTACAAACTGCAGAGAAATGATAATAACTTTTTTTTTTCTTTTATTATCAGTAATGGTTGATGTTTTATTCAAAGATTACGAGCTGTACTTTAATTCATATTATAGAAATAATTTTTTTCCCTTTTTGGTCTCATTTGGCTATTTTGTCATTAATTAACCTTCTCTTTTTCTTTTTCTTTTTTCTTTTTTTTTTTTTTTTTTGCATATTTAATGAAAATGGTTTTAGAACATCACTCATTTATTTTATAAATTAAGAATAACTCATAAACACTTGCAAGCATTATGGTTAAGGTAGATGAGATAGCTATTAGTTTCTCCAAACTAAAAGTCCAGAATAATATAAAATATAAATATGGGCTGCTGCATCTATAGCCAATTGGTTCTAAGTTGGACACTTATATGGTATTCAAGTCAACTGGTTTTTCTAGTATGGTCTTAGAGCCTGATTCTTCATTTCATTGTGTTTGTTTCTTTGTTGATAGTGCATTTGCAGTGCCAACCATAACCTAGCCTGCACATGTAAGGCTTGTTCTTACTGGCCCTATCTCATTTCTTATTAGGCCTCCTTGTTAGCCGACATGCAGGGTTCTATAGGAACCTAACCTCCACTCAAGGGGGATGTTCAAATGGGAGAATCCCATATCAATAAGTTAAAAGAAACCTGTGGACTTAAATATAATATAGGCTACTGCACCTATACCCAATGGTTTTAAGTTAGATATTCATATGGTCTTTGAGTTCACTTGTTTTTAACCTACAATACCACAACTGTCAAACTATTCTGCAAAATGAGAAAATCTGGAGTCAGCTTTGTTTAACTGAAGCTTAATGGTTTGATCAAAGTCGGCTCATTTGTTTTTGTCTTAAGAAAGTCAGAACTAAATTAATTTCAAATAAATTTAGAGGACTCGTTTGTGAAAATCTTGTAAGTTTTTAATTTTTTCTCCCAGCATAACTAGAAGACTTTACCAAAATCCCTTAATACTTATCCACAAAACAAACTTCCATGAACCTGATGCATCCTAGTGTTAGGATTTAAAATAAGAAGCTAATTAATCAATGAATAATAATGTCCAACTTAAACTTAAAGGAAATACATATAATACTTTTAGAAGCTACAACTATTAACTTCAGTAAATTGGAAGATTAACAAGATTAAAATTTTGTCAATATACATGCAAGCTCTCTAAATTGCGAAAACCTTAAGTTGATCAATAATGAATAACCTATTTTATGAGTCTTTTATGAGGTTTATGAACCAAAAAAAAAAAAAATCTTTGCCTACATTAAATTAAATGCTTTGAAAAAGGCCCAGCTTTCATAGTTGCTTTTCTCATGTCCCTAATTATCAACCCAAGCAAATTCCTAACTTGAACAGAGTTTCAACTGGAGTTGAGACCTTAGGAGTGGCGATGCTACTTGCTGCTTGTGCAAGTCTAGATTTGTTCAACTTAACCTGTCCTCAAGCTACCCTTCCAAATAAGTGTCTCCAGTAACGTGGCCATTCTTCACCTTGGAACAGTAGCTATTTCTGTTAGACAAATTACTTGCTCTTCAGACTTTTCAGCTGCTCTTGAATGCAAGAATATGTCAAAGCTTCTCTCAGGTGAAAAATGATAAATAGATGGACTTGCATTGTTAATGCATCCAACCTAACAGCTGTTTTTGATAGGTACAGAGACCTTATATATAAAACCATATGGCCCACAACATACCCCAAACTTAATTACTTTGGGATACTACCATTTTTCAATGCTTCCTGTCATACCTAAGTCCAATATACAACAAATTGGACCTATCATGTGGACAGAAAAAAACATGGTGACAGACAATAGATGGAGGAATAAACAACCTGTGTTCTGATACCTTGTTAAAGTATCTAACATCAACCCAGTTCTTGCTAGTTAGAAATTAGAAAGGTCTAACTTGAATTTAAGGTTAGACTAAAAGCCTCAAACAAATGATGTCAGAACCCTAAATTTATGGTTCTGGATGTTTTTACTCTCCTTCTGAGCTTTGGCATTTCTGTCACATTATCAAATGTATCAACAAATCCAAAGTTATGGCTCTTCATGTCTTCTTAAGTTGTCTTATTTCTGTTCCATTATTATTTTTCACTAACAGTTCATCTTATGTTTACAGGGTAAGGTTTCATTATGGCCATCCTGATATTTTTGACAGAATCTTCCACATAACAAGGGGTGGTATAAGTAAAGCTTCAAAAATTATTAATTTGAGTGAGGATATATTTGCAGGTAATCTCCACTCATTAGAATACTCTAACTAAAAGGAAGGATCTACGTGTTAACTGCACTTACATGTTCAGGGTTCAATTCAACCTTGCGTGGGGGCTATATTACACATCATGAATACATCCAAGTTGGGAAAGGGCGCGATGTAGGAATGAATCAGATATCTGCTTTTGAGGCAAAGGTTTCAAATGGCAATGGGGAGCAGACACTTAGCCGCGACGTTTATCGACTTGGACGTCGGTTTGATTTCTATAGAATGCTCTCATTCTACTTCACAACAGTTGGTTTCTATTTTAGTAGCATGGTATGTCAACCAATTTTCTTTTATCACATGGGTCAGAGAAATCTCATAGACTATTGTGTTGTTGTCATGGTGGTACTGCTTGTTCAAGTTTACTAGGTCATTAAAAGGGAATTGTGTGTAGTCTTATTGGTTTTATCTTATAATCATTTGTTTTTATTAAAATTATTCAAGGGTGAATTAGTTTAAGATGCATAGTTTTTGTTCCTGGTTTTTATCTTGTTGATGGTTGCTTTTACAATATGCATTATAAAAGAGTAAAAAACTTCTAATGGTCATCCCAAATTACTATTTAATTTATAACTTTCAACTGTAACATGAATAGACTACATAACAAATGTCAAAACTGACTGTAAAGTCTACATTGCATATGAATTCCTAACAATCATCCTTGATATCTGAATCTTGTTTCAGGTTACTGTGCTTATTGTTCATGTATTTTTATATGGACGTCTATACATGGTTATGAGTGGATTGCAAGGAGCAATTCTTCAGAGTCCAAGCATACATCAGAGCAAGGCCCTTGAAGAGGCTTTGGCTACCCAGTCTGTCTTCCAGTTGGGCTTGCTGCTGGTGTTGCCCATGGTTATGGAAATTGGCCTGGAAAAAGGCTTCCGTTCTGCTGTAGGTGACTTCATCATTATGCAACTACAGCTGGCTTCTGTATTCTTTACATTCCAGCTTGGAACAAAGGCACATTATTATGGACGAACTATCTTGCATGGAGGTTCTAAGTATCGAGCTACTGGTCGTGGGTTTGTTATTTTCCATGAAAAGTTTGCCGAAAACTATAGACTGTACTCACGGAGTCACTTTGTGAAGGGTTTGGAGCTGCTTATACTCCTAGTCTTGTATGCAGTCTATGGGAAACCATATCCTACTTCCAGCCTTTATTGGTTTGTCACGTGGTCCATGTGGTTCCTTGTTGCATCATGGCTGTTTGCTCCTTTTGTGTTTAATCCATCAGGGTTTGACTGGCAAAAAACAGTCGATGACTGGACAGATTGGAAAAGGTGGATGGGAAATCGTGGAGGTATTGGGATCCAGCCTGATAAAAGTTGGGAATCCTGGTGGGATGCAGAGCAAGAACACCTCAAACACACAAACATAAGGGGAAGAGTGCTTGAGATTATTCTAGCATTCCGCTTCTTTATATTCCAGTATGGAATTGTCTACCACCTGGATATAGCTCGTCACAGCAAAGACATTCTGGTACAAACTAGTTTTTCTTTCTCTTTTACTTTTTTCTTTATAGAAAAATACTACTTGCCTTTTGGTTTTGACGATTTTAAATTTCGATTACCTTTCCCCTATTTCTGCTTAAAATTTCTGGACTTCATTGATCTTCTAACCTTTTTGTTTTGTAGGTTTATGTACTGTCTTGGATTGTTATGGCAACCGTTCTTCTAGTTTTGAAGGTATGCAAATGCATTTCACAATATGATGAAAACAAATTTCCCAAACTCACCATGATGTGAATTATTTAAAATTTAAATTACTGTCAAGAATGTAGGTTTATGTCAATAACGGCTTTCTTTTTCCCTAGTCTGTATATCTAAAATGTTTGTTTACTGGCACACATTAATTTTTTATATTCCTGATATGTTCCACATGTTGCTGCCAGATGGTGTCAACGGGTAGGCGAAGATTTGGTACTGACTTCCAGCTAATGTTCAGAATTCTGAAGGCCCTTCTTTTCCTAGGTTTCTTGTCAGTCATGTCTGTTCTATTTGTTGTCTGTGGCCTCACTCTTTCGGATGTATTTGCTGCCATCCTTGCTTTCATGCCTACTGGATGGGCAATTATTCTTGTAAGTAATCTTCTGCTGATGATCTTTCCTTTCTTCATTCGGCTTTGTTATTGTCAATTTTTGACTTTCATTTTTTGTTGTGGCTTTGTAGATTGGACAAGCAATGAGACCGCTGGTGAAGGGATTAGGATTCTGGGACTCAATAAAGGAGTTGGCAAGGGCCTACGAGTACATTATGGGACTCGTACTGTTTGCACCAATAGCCATACTGTCTTGGTTCCCATTCGTTTCAGAGTTCCAAACACGTCTGCTCTTCAACCAAGCATTTAGTAGGGGCCTGCAGATTTCAATGATTCTGCAAGGGAAGAAAGATAAAACGTCACCCACACCCAAATGATGTTTCTATGCATCTCACCTTTCTTTTGATAGCACCCAAAGGATTAGTTTTATTTGTCAAGTTACCTATGTTGTTACCAATTCTTTTATTAATTACTATTCCTTCCTTTAGTTAACAGTAAAGTAAAGCTTTCATTTGTTACTTGACTATCCTTTTGCAAGAATCAAATACTAAAACTGGCTAGTTCAGCATAAGAAATTTCAGTTATTAATATGCTCCACATTCGTTTCAGTATAATAAGTAAAAAACATTATAATGATCTTATCATATATTATTATAAATTTATATTATAATGTGTTGTTATATAATTTAATTTTTTATATAATAATTTATTAATTATATTATATATATTTATTTATTTAATAATACATCACATTCATGACTTATACATGATATTATAATTAAATTGATAGTTAATTTCCTCGGATAAGAAGTGAAAAGTATTGACTAGTTAATTGTTGGCTAGAAACCGGGGACTCGGGGAGGATTTAAGTTGTTTCAAATGTGCTTTTAGGTTATCCTCACTTCGAAGATTTCTCAAACAAATTGAATGAAATCTAACTTGTTTTATGAACGGCTACAAAGCTTATCGATTATTGATCTTTTCCATTTCATCTTCCGCAGGTGTCAATTAATCCACTTTCCGAACAGCCCATTTTAAATTAACTTGATTTATATATTGATATAACCCGTGCTCGTCTGCTGCCGCTCTTGGGAGCCAATTAGCTGCAGGAATTCTATAGTCTGCACAAACTGCCAAAGAGTGAAGTTCGAACTTGGAAGAAAAAAAAAGAAACGAAGACCTAGAAGGAGATCGGCGTCTTCATCAAAATCAATTCAATGGTATTCCCACATTCATTCAATCTTAGTCCTTAATCCTAAGCCTGCTACCTCTATTAATCTGTGATTTCGATGATACTTGCAGGCGGAGGCAGATAAGAAGCAGCTGAAGCTGTATTCCTTCTGGAGGAGCTCCTGCTCTTTCCGCGTTCGAATTGCCCTCAACTTAAAAGGCAAGTTTGGAAATCTGAATTCATCTCTTCGTTTTTTCAAATTATCCAGTTACTATCTCCCCTTTCAGGGCTTCAATACGAATATATACCTGTTAATCTCCGCAAGGGAGAACAATTGACTCCTGGTTAGTAATTTCTTTTTTACTTGTTAATCTGCACTCCTCATTCCCTAATTCATAATCATATTCATATTTTGTTTCTGTAAAAAAATTTATCTATAGAATTCATCAAGGTCAATCCTATTGGATATGTACCAGCCCTGGTTGATGGTGATGTTGTGGTGTCTGACTCTTTAGCTATTTTGATGGTAAGTTCCTCTGTCCACCCACTTTATTTCTTACTTTCATCTCATTGTTTCATTTCATTTTACTCGAATGGCAGTATCTAGAAGACAAGTACCCTCAACATCCTCTCCTACCATCAAATCTTCATAAAAGAGCCATCAATTATCAGGTAAGTAATTATTCCTCTTAATTATTTCTTCCCCCTTAATTTCATATACTCACAAACTCATCAATTCAATCATTTTGTAGGCCGCAAATATTGTTTCCTCAAGCATTCAACCTTTTCAGCTAGTCGCACAGGTAAATGTCATTACATTCTTCAAACCAAAATGATGCTTTTCTGGATTATAACAATGTCTACTATATTTCCAGAAATATGTTAAGGATAAATTCGGTGTAGATGAGGAACTTTCTTTTGCTAGAGACCATATTGGCAAAGGCTTTGGAGGTAACTGATGCACTAAAATCACTTTAGCAAGTGTATTAATTGCTCTAAATAATATAATGATAAGAAGAATGTTAAATTCATGAGAATTGTGTTTAATTAACTATCAAAATAATTAATTCAAATTTACTTAAACAATCTAAAAATTTTAATTTAAAAATAATAAAGAAAAAATAACAATTTAAATAAAACTAGTTAAGATAGGAAGTATTAAACTATTGATTTCATCATAAGTAATCAATATAAATTTTGAATTAATATACTTTCAAAATTAATTTGTTAAGTATTATTATATATAATGGCAGATTTTCTCAAATTAATTAATTAACTTTCTTAAGTCAAGTTAATTTTTTAATTATTTGTTAAATTAATTATATTTTTATATAATTTTAAACAAACTAATAAGTATTAAATTCTATAAAAACCTCTAATTTAAGGAGCTCCTAACTCTTTTATCTTTTTCCATTACTATCACATATGAGCTAATTATCTCTTGATTTCATAATTTAACACACAATTTATATTATTATTAATCTAATTTATGTAATTTTTTCTCAAATTCATACATAAATCACTAAATCAATCGAAAGGTAATTAAGCTTTCAATGTATTAAATTTAATAATATAAACTCATCATACAAATAATTTTAATTAAAAATATAAAATCACAAAATCTATATTAAATTGATTAAGTTACATTATAATCTTAATAAAATAAATCAATTCATAATAAAAATAATAAAACTTGGAATATTAAGGAAGAAAAATCATCTGTCTTGATCTCCAAAAATGTAAAAAAAAAAGGGTTGTTACCCACCTCCAACCTCCCTCAACTTTAAATTTAGATGGGTATTTATCGGATTTCAGGGACCTAATTGTGAAAATCGCGTAAGGAGTCAGTGCCGATACCTTTTGTTCAGCGGACAATACCACACGTGTCGCGTTTTTGGTTTTCTTAGCAATTTCTGTTAATGGTAAAATGACAGTCTTGGTCCCTGACTTCTAGATTCTGCACAATTTAATCCTCATATTTTTAATCTCTGCAATTTACTCTTAAAAATCATGATTTCTTCCAATTAAGTTTTTTCCTACACAAAAAATAGAAATTATGTACAATCAAATAAAATTTCATAAAACTCATCTAAATATCAATAATATCAAAACAAAAATTTTATATTAATATATATATAAACTCAACTCATCAATAACAAATAAGTTATTAGTTATCATATCACTTTTTAATTGACAAATATTCAAGTAAGTTTTAGAACTATTCAACACGATTAAAAGACAGTAATTAAAGATTCAGGAGCTGAACACTTTTTAC